AATGTACCTGGTGAAGAGAGAGAGAGAAGGGGATGCAAAGGGGCGAGACCCACAAAAGAGTGAAGAAGTTTTGAGCTGGAAAACTTGAGACGAGAAGAAGAGGGCCCAGTTGACAAATGAACTGAAGAGGCTGAACGGGCATGAATTGGAGGAATGGCTGATCTGAGAGATGACATATTCCACGTTGCAGATGCTGATGTGCTAGCACACGCCATGACTGTACTTTTTCTTGCTCTGCTCTTGCTCAATTTCGTGTTCTATATTGGCCTATGGCCCTATGGAGAGAATGAGGGGATATGGATTACTTTATATGGATAATTTGGTATTATAGCCCCTCCATTTGCTATGAATTTGTTTTTCACCCACAAAAACATGACCCTTTATAAATAGTTTTTCCCACTTGTGTCAAGTTTCATTTCATAGCTCATATTCTTATTTACCAAAATTCAATTTTTGTTTCAATTAAATAAAGCCGTCCATTTTTGTCGATGAAACTTAACGGGAAATCTAACGTGATTAAGGGTGCATTGATACGCCAATGGTTTTGCGTTGAGTTGATGCACAATTTTTCTCATATCTAGGCAAATGAGTGGTTTTCTATATGTCCATTTCAAATTCGGGAAAAAGGCCTGACATAGAAATAGGATTCTTGATGCAATGCAAGCATAAGAAACAAACACGAGATCAACAGTCTCATTGATGCGTAAAAAATACCTAGAAAAAATATAACAATGTCTAATCGAGTGCCTCCACATTCATAATTTGAACATTGAATTGAACACTCGAGAATAAAAAATTGGATAGAATTAAAAAAAATGATTTTTTAAAAACGTGTTCAATCTTATCCTGAGTTGTCTCCTTTAATCAAAACTTTATTACTATTTTCATGGTGTTTTTCCAAACAATCTATATTCTATTAAACTTTTATGTTTACATAATGTTCAAGGCGCCACATAAGATCACAATTGAAGATATATGAGAATGAATAATGCTATCTATCAAGACTGCCATGAGTGCGTCCTATTGTTCAAGATGTACACACATTGATGGATACCTTCATCTGTGTCAAAAATTTGACAATTGTTCGTGTAAAGGAAGAAGGTTGTTCTTCTCTTGGTAAAAACAAAGCTCTTTCTTCTCTTGGGTCGAACTTGCGGGCTGTGCAAGTCGTTGATGTTCTTTATATATATAT